ACTAGGATACGACGGACCGGTTAAATAAACATCGACACGGGACTCCTTGGGTCCGTTTTATCCCGCTTCTTCTTCAAGCCGTGAAACAAGACCGACCATGAGAACCGGAAGACGCCGACTCCTTGGTGAGCGGACTGTTTCCAGATTCTTCGAACAAGCAGTTTGACCCCAATAAATTATTTTTCGTTTAGCAAGGGAAAAAGGATAATGAAGATTAGAAGGGTGGAAAAATTAACATGAGATAAATTTAAACTGTTGAACAATTTAAAACGAGCAGAATTTTCGTTGACAATTAATTTGTGTGATTTTTCAACATTTGCATTAACTACCTTAGGAATTTTGCAACCTTGCTGTTTTTCTGACAGTTTTCCTGTTGACGATTTTCAATTGCGAGAATCACCCCCCCCCCGGATTTGATTTGTTAACGTTTCTCACGGAAAAAACGCATTTTAAAAAAATCGTGCTTTGAGAATTGCACAAGTTTCGTTTTAAGGTTATATTTTGTTTTGTTGTTTTCATATTCGCATAGACAAATGGAAAATTGTAAGTTGGCATTTGAAGGCAGCTGAGATTTGTCAAATTACACAAACATGACACAAAGTACATATTATACACTCATTGTACATGATATTCTCCTCACTCTGTATATCCGTTTATGTAATTATTTGAAACTCTCTCTCTCTCTTTTCTTATCTCTCTCATTTTCTTTCTATCTGTCTCACACTTTCTTTCTCTCTCTTCTTTTTGTCTCTATCTCTTTTTATCTGTCTTTTTTCTTCGTTTATCCATCTCTCTCTCCCTCCTTCACTCACTCCCTCTCACTCTCTCTTTCTCTTTTTCTTTCTTTCTCTTCTTATCTCTCTCATTTTCTTTCTATCTGTTGCACACTTTCTTTCTCTCCCCTCTCTTTCTCTCCCTCTATCTATCTCTATCTCTATCTCTCTATCGATCTCTCATTCTCTTACCCTCTCAGTCTCCCTCGTTCTTCTCTCTCTCTCTCTCTCTCTCTCTCTCTCTCTCTCTCTCTCTCTATCTCTATCTCTCTCTCCATCTCTTTCTCTCTCTCCTTTACCTAATTTTCTTGAGTTGTTTCTCCGACTTCCACACCCCCAATCTTATTCTCTATTCATTATATTTAGTGGTCTATTGACCAGATTAATTCTTTCAATTAATTAATTTTTTTATGTAAGGTTTTGGTTGAAATGAAAAAGTCAGTGTTACGAGCGGGATTCGAACCCACGACCTTCGGCTCAATACGCCGCTGCTCTAACCTCTTGAGCTATCGTGACTTCGACTTATTCTCTATTTTTAATCGCTTTTTCTTTCTCTTATCATTCCATACCTTTCTTTATCTGTTTTTGTTCCTCAACCACTCCGAAGAAAGTTTTGTAAAGTGGTTCTGAACCGTCGTCGGTTCAACGGATTTCGAAGTTAAACCTATAGGGCAGGAATTTCTTTTAATTGTTAGTTATTCAGAAATCGTGAGATGCGGTCTGGTGTGATGTAGGTTTCAGAAAAACATTTTCTTTATCGTGCCAACGTTTCGATCTTTATTGCAATCATCTTCAGGGCCTGGGATTTACAAACATTGTTTACATTTAACAAATAAATGTAGGATGTTGAAAAAAGTGAATTTATACAATGCAAAATATATTTTTTTTATATTCAATCAAAGTATTTCTACTCGCTCAAAGTGTTTGTCTTCTGTGTAATTGTGCCATTCTTGCGTGTCGTGTTGAGAGTGCCAGTGAGATTTTGCTGTTTTATGTTTATATATGTTGGTTTTTAATCGTTAGGTTGGTAGTAAATCTTTTATACAAAAGTCTTCAACGCGCAAACGAGCGAAAAATTTTTAATATGTCATCTTTTAAAATGATCTTTGATTGTATAATAGGCGATATTTTGCCGTCAAGAATGCCGACCATTTCCGAGTTTTTCGCAGGTATTGAAATGGCAGGGAAAGGCTGATTTTGATCCCGTTATCCAATCTTGCAAAGCGCAGAATGCAGGTAGGTCGTTGAAAGACAACAGTACGCCTACAATCTCGGCAATAGGTCCAAAAATAGAAAGCAAACATACACAAATATCTATATATAAAATGTAACAGCAATATTATTGTTGGAAAACATAAACAAAGAGAGAAAGAGATGGAAGATAACTAATCGAGAAAAGGGGAAAAATGAAAAGGGGGTTAGATAACAGACGTAAATTATCTTTTTTATCATTTGGGTCAGTGCTAATCTCTTAAAATTTTGAATGAAATAGAGTGTCATTAACCGATTTTGTTTTTCCGCTTTTCAATACGCCGGAGCAAATCACTTTTAAAGATCTTATTGTTCGAACAATTTGACTTTCCGTAAGGTATTTTGATTGGGTCATAACTCCAAAAGAGAAGTAAAGAACTGAAAAATGTTTTAAAATGCAATTTGATTTCAATTACACGTCGAAAATTTCTGTATAATAGGATTGAATGTCATCAGTTTGATTGTATTCAAGTCAAGCTTCCTGCTGGAGTTATCGAACGCGATTGGAAAAGCGAGAATATGCGGACCAGGATGTCAAAGTATGTCAATAAAAGACCTCTCTGGTGATACAAAAAAATACAACTTAAGATTTTGATAGTCAAAACTCTCTGTAACAGAAAGCAGTGGGGCTGTCTTGCCACGCCCTGCTTTTAATCCTGACTTCGCTAATGATTTTTTTAAAAAAAGATCGTTGGCTTTTATCCAGATACCAGGGCAAAGTTCTTAACCGACGCGACGTTAATTCCTCGCCCTGCTTATATCCCTGACTTCTAATACAGTGAAAATCTCGATGAGATTAGGAAGCTAGTTGATTTGACTTTCATTATGCTCATTTTCTCACAGAGTGAACAATTTAAGTAAAATTCAAGAACTACAACTTAAGATTTTCATAAGCCGAAATTCTCTTTAAAAAAAGGGCCGGGGCTGTCTTGCCACGCCCTGCTTATAACCCTGACTTCGCCCTATTTTATATTCATTTTTGTTAAACCAATGATTAAAAAATAGATCGTTGGCTTTTATCCGAATATTCGGGCAAAGTTCGTAACTGACGCGACGTTATTTCCTCTCCCTGCTTATAACCCTGACTTATAATACAGTGAAAATCTCGATGAAATTAGGAAGCTAGTTGATTTGACTTTCATTACGCTCATTTTCTCTCAGAGTGTGCATGCGCAAATTGAAGTACTACAACTTAAGATTTTCATAAGCCAAAATTCTCTTTAAAGAAAGGGCCGGGGCTATCTTGCCACGCCCTGCTTATAACCCTGACTTCGCCCTATTTTATATTCATTTTTGTTCAACAATGATTAAAAAATAGATCGTTGGCTTTTATCCGAATATTCGGGCAAAGTTCGTAACTGACGTGACGTTATTTCCTCTCCCTGCTTATAACCCTGACTTATAATACAGTGAAAATCTCGATGAAATTAGGAAGCTAGTCGATTTGACTTTCATTAGGCTCATTTTTTCACAGAGTGTAAACTTGTTTTTGATGAAATTTAAGTAAAAATTGAATTAGTGAGATTTCGTATCGCACTTTGAATTTAATCGAGGTGGCAAAGCTTTTAACTCTAAATTGTATAGAGGGACGTCAATCTCAAAAAGAAAAAATCTGGAGTCCGGTCACCCAATGATACAAATCAAAATACAACTTTCGATTTTCTTACGCCAAAAAACTATTTTTTAAAAAAGGGCTGGGGCTGTTTTGCCCCGCCCTGCTTATAACCCTGACTTCGCTGTATGCAATATTCACTGTTTGATCAACCAATGATAAAAAGAAACATATCGTTGGCTTTTAAACCGGCAAAGTTTATTGTTACTGAAGCGACGTGTTGTCTCGCCCTGCTTACGTATTATAAATAAGTAATCGATTTAAAATATTGCCATTAAAAATATTTTATCAAAAAAAAGATTAAGAGGAAATTTAAGAAAAAAAATAGTATATGCATACTAAGTAATCAAGGTATTGTGAGAGAGCTAAGTTCAGGACAAAGTTTAAGAGTAAGAACAAATTTATATAAATTTCTTTTTTGAAAATGTTTAGGGATGGTAATAAGCAAGGTATTTGTATTGCGTTTTTCTTGAAAAAAAAAGTGTCCTACGAGCCTTTTACATCCAAAAAGGCGATAAAAATTTTGTCCGGTTTTTTGCGTTTTTCTTGAAAAAAGTTTCCTACGAGCCTTTCACATCGAAAAGGACAATTAAACAATTTTCGATTTTTTTCGTTTTTTTTGCGTTTTTCTTGAAAAAAAAAATCGAGACAATTTCCAAATTAAAATATTTTCAAAATCGTAGCCCAAATATTGTTAAATAAAATTTCTGATTTTTTTAAAATAAAGGGTTCGAAAAAATAAAAATTCGAAATAAAACATTCTCTGAAGAATTCATTAATTCCTGGAAATATATCAAGAACAGCAATGAAATTTTCCAATTCCCCACCTGACCCTATTTGTTCTTTTTTGATCTCCATATCCTTACTAAAAAGTTATAATTCGATAATTACCTATCATCTGCCTAGACAGGTAGGTAAGTATCGAACTATAAGTTCATCATTCCACAGATCACCATAATCTCACCATGAAGTAATTAATTTTTTTTAGATTGTTTATGCAACTTTTCTTTTTAACTTGACTAGTCAAATATTGAAAATATGGAGGAGACGATATGAGAGAAGGTAAGGAGTCGCTGTTGACCAAGAGATGGCGGTAAACAGTGGCACTCGTATCCTGAGCAAATGGTAAATAGTGGAAAGAGATAATCCATGGTGACTTGTGGAAGATATTTTGAAGCGACGGGAACCTGCCAGAGGCCGGGCGGCGAGCGATGAATGCAAAAATGTGGAATAATAGTAAACCGGCGGCCGGAGAAGGGGATCGGGCGGAGGTGAATCGACATAGTGGCGCTGGTGGGGAGGGCGGAGCCGCAAAGTAGTTCCGTTCGAAACCGTGTAAAACAATGAAAGTAAGGGATGTCATTTGAATATTAAGGCGGAACGGGGTTGTCGGGGGTGGTCATCGGTGAGTGGTCGGCTATTAAGGATCGGATATCCCATTGTTCACGTGATAAATCCAGGACGAGCCGCGGCGGCCGGCGTCAGAGGTGGGGTCGTAGCGGCCTAGAGTGGGGAGACCTCTGCGGACCCGGGCTCGCCGGCACTCTCGGAATCCGAGACAGTTCTCGTTTGGCCGGCGTCATGTTCGCACGGGACGATCTTTCGGTGAAAATGCCGGCGAACTTCGAGTGGGACAACGATCTCCAGGCGACGGAGTGGGACTGGCGGGACGCGACCGGATTCAACGACATCGAGTTCACCCTGGCCCCGTCCGAGGACTTCTGGAAGAGGTTCGAAGAGCTGCCGGACTTCGGCGCCGACCTCGACTCCCTCCTCGAGAACGAAGTCGGCAACGTGAATGTCCTCCGTAACCACGACTGCATGTGGGCCGGCACCTGCCACAACAAACAGCACAAGACCGCCCAGAGGATGTCGCAACCGACGCCGGCCCCTCAACACCAGGAACCCAAGAAAGAACCCAAAAAACGTGGAGTCATCGTACAGAGAACAGTCGGAAGGAGCCTCCTGATCAACAGAAACAGACAGACGCCTCCCAGGCCCGAGACGCCGCCGTCCCTAGACGAAGAGGAAGAAGAAGAGAAGGCCGTCTCCATCGCAGAGCTGACCGGCGTCGTACACAAAATCCCGGCCTCCACAGCCACCACCACCATCCACACCAACGTCAAATTCGAACACAACTACGACAAACAAGTCCGGACCGACGACCTCGGCGTACAGACACCATCAGACTCCGGTAAGTCAAGTGAATTTAGTGACAAATATTCAATAGATTTTAATCTATTTTATTGGATTACTTTGAAACACGGTGAGTGAAACTACTTTTTATATGCCACACCCACATAACTTCTTGACGTCTGAACCGTTTCCATATGTTCATTAATTGTCCGGTTTTCGGTCCCTACGACGCAGACACAGTACGAAAAAGGCTTAAAAATATTCAACTTATTGACCAAAAAAACTCCTAACCCTGACTATCTCCGCAATGTGTCAAATCGAAATCTCAACAATTCAACTTAAATAAAACAAAACGAAAAAAAATCTAAAATTCAACCTAATCCGCCGGGGGGGATCAAAAATTTTATCCCGAGTTGTGTTTGTTTTTTGTGACAGCCCTAACCGTTTTGCGACGCTACAAAAGCGAAAATAGGCCCAATACGCCTAGAGAGTAGGGTTGAAACTGTAAACAATTTCGGAAAATTTCAAAAACTCATGCCTAAATTTGAATCAGTTCGACCAGTCGGGAGCCAAGTCCCGAAAGTCCCAACCCTGTTCCCGCCGTGATTTAAAGGACGGATTGATTTTTTTTAAAACGATTTTTAGAACGAACGATGCACTTTTAGTACGGATAGTTGATTTTTAAAACGTAATAAATATAGGGTAATTTTTTTTTAACCCTACAAAATTAAATTAATCTAGTCAAAATTAAATAAATAATAAATTACCCCTGCAGAATTTTGTTTGCGTTTTCAAAACGTAATAAATGTAGGGTAATTTTTTTTAACCCTACAAAATTAAATTAATCTAGTCAAAATTAAATAAATAATAAATTACCCCTGCAGAATTTTGTTTGCGTTTTCAAAAGGTGTTTGTCCTTTTAAATGGTCGCCGGGCGGTTTCCCGCCATCTTTTCCCGCGCTGTCATGGGGTCTGGCGGGAAAAGGGCGTTCCTCCCTTTAAATCAAGGACGGTCGGAATTTTTTTCTAATTGAAATTTTTTTGTTTAATTAATTGGGAATCTAAGTTTCGTTAAGGTTTTTATGGGCGGCGGAATACTTAATTTCTGGTTGGGGGGGTCATTCGGACGAGGTCGTATTGGTACTTCACGACATACGTTAATGTAGCATGGCCCGGTATGACTAAATGTAAATCCGTTAAAAAAAGATAAGAAAAAACAGCTTAAAAAGCCCGAAAGTAAAAAAAAAAAAGGTATCGAACATTTTTTTTTCTCTTTACTCGCTGTTAGGCAGGGACCAGCTTCGCGACAACCGGAAAATTTCGACCACCTTCCAAGACGATTTTTGACACGATTTCCGAATTTCGTAACTTTGCGCGACTTTTTTTCTCTCTCGAGGGGGTTCACGCCCCCGTTCAATGTCAAGCCGGATCGGCGGGGGGAGGCGGGAGTCAAGGCCGGCGGAAAATAACACCAAAGCCCTCCCCCCTCCCTACGGCGGACTTGGCCGTCATCTTTGCCAATTGTTACTTCGGAAAATTCAAATTTTTGAATAATTTACCTACACGTGCGGGGGGTGGAATTAAGTAAAAATTGAAGCGTAGACGGCGGTCGTGAAAATAATTTAAAGGTCCTTCATCTTTAGGTCAGTGTATCTCGCCTCTCCCACTCTTCAAGTACCAAGGCCAAGTTCAAAAACAGAAAAATAAAATCTCAACTGGCCCTTTAATCTTGGGATTTAACAATTTGGCTAGTAAATATTGACCGATTTTATCCTGTACAATTGGTCCTACCTGGACGACATAGCAAGGATTATCTTTTGTAGATAAAATTAACCCTATCCGTTTAATTTTTTCGACCTAAAAAAAGTTGATCATATGCGTAAATAAAATTTTTTAAAAAATCATATTTGTCGGTGCATTGCATGTTTATGATCAACGGATCATTGTTCATAAATTTGTTTTCTGAGCTTGCCATGATTTTAATTAATTTTTCCTTGAATCCGTCTTATTCAATGGTTAAAATATCTCATTAACAAATTTAAATTTGTACGTTTTTTACTCTTTTTTTTTTTAAATATAATTTCAAGTGATATTTTTCGTTAATTTAACAATGATTGTACGATGGAGGAAATTTAACTTGAATTTTTAAAAAAATAATTGGTTGGTTTTTTTTCGGTTCCACCCCCGACCTTGAACGCAGCGAAATCTGCCGCCCCCACCCGACTTCCTTGGTCAAGGTTACCGTAGTGTCGTATTTGGGCTGTGAAGGGGGTTGGAATCGATCCGCTGCCGCCCCCGGCCAAGGTTCGACGACCCCGGGGGGGGTGGCAATGCGCATCCGCCACCCCCAATGCGGTCTACCTCCCGGCTCTCCCTTTTTTGGGTGTGGTAGGAAAAAAAAGAAAAAAAAGCGCCTCTCTTGAAAAATGTCTTTAGTGTAATATGTAGAATTTTATGTAAACGCAGGTGTTCTTATTGCAGAAGAGGAGGACGAAGAAGAAGAAGAGGAAGTTGAGGAAGAAGAGGAAGAATGCGAGGAGGAAGAGGAAGAAGAAAGCTCGGATGAAAAACAAGAAGAAAGCGAAGAAGAGATTGACGTCGTGAGTCTGACGAGAGAATCCCTGCCGACTAACCCGAGCCGGCAGGCGAGATTCCAGCTCCAGCAGAAAATGGCGACAGCGATCACCACCAACTCCCTCCTGTCGGCTTCCAGGGCCGTCTCGAAAAGGCTGAACGTCAAAGAGCCGAAGAGGAAAAGGAGAAACAGCGATTCCGACGACACAGAGACAGAAGAGACAATTGTCAGGAAGAAGTGGAGGACGCCCAAAAAGTCAAGGTCCGTTTTGAGACACTACAGGGAGATGCTAGTATTTTCTCGATGTTTAATTAACATTTTGGGGAAGCTTAAAAAACTTAAACTCTTTGAAAAACTCATGTTCCTTCCCCAGTTTTCTTTTTCTTTCGGGAATCTTTAAAGATCATGTTGCGATCTCCCTGTCAGTATTTGACCCTTGTCAAAATGGGTGTTTTGATTTTGGTTTTTTCTAGATTTCCGGCCGATTCTGAGCCAGATTCATTGGAGAAGCGCTCACAGCATAATAACATGGAAAGGATGAGGAGGATAGAGCTGAGGAACGCCTTCGAGGAGCTTCGCGGTCTCGTGCCCACCCTGTCCGGTAACAACAGGGCGCCCAAAGTGACCATCCTGAAGGACGCCACCTCCTATCTCTACGACCTAAAACTCAAAGATAAAACCCTCCAGATGCAAGTGGCCGAGCTGAGAGCCGACCAGGACAGGCTTAGGACGACTCTGTCCAGGCTCCGGCGGTCCTTAGCCTTCACGAGACGTTAAAGCTGTATTTTAACCAAGTTAAATATGCTAAATACCAAAGCTTTTTTTTGTACAGTCTTGCTCTAAAAAGTTTAAAATAATTAATAAAAAGTTGCCATATTTGTTACCAATGTAGATAAATCTTTGTAAATAATTAATTGATTAATGAAGAATGTACAGCCCCTTCCTTTTTCAAGCCCCTCCCCCAATTTTTTTCTGTGCCTTCTTAATTGGTGCTATTTTCGTATTTTTTTAAAAAAAGTAATAAATAACGGTATAGAATTAAAAAAAAAATAATATTGAAATTTCCTATTAAAAAAATATTTTTTTTTACATTCCCACAAGTGTTTTTCTTTTATTTTATATAAAAAATAATAAGTTTTTTTTATAATAGATATATTTTTAAGGAAGTACTTAAATAATTTTTTTTGTTTAAAAAAAATTGTTTTCTAGATTTATTTTGGATTAATTGTGATTTTGTGATTTCTTTTTTTAAATTATTTTTGAAAAAAAAAGTTCAAGTTAGGTTGTAGTTCCTTTAAGTTTTGCATTATTTTGTTTATTTTCAAAACAAATTTCAAATGGCGGTTTTTTTGCGTTTTAGTTAAAAAAGATTTGAAATAAATAATTTAAAAAAAAAGAATGGCAAATTTTTTGACAAATCAAGTCAGGTCTTATTATAGACAACAATACAAAATATAAAAATTGAGGTGTTCGATTTTGGAAATGAAAAGAGAGAGAAAAAAATAAGAAAGGTGTAAAATTGTGTAGTTCCTCATTTATGTATATTTTTGTGTAAATACATAAAACGGGGTTTTTTGTTTTTAATTTTTTTTCTGACGTTTTGAATGGACTACGTCCTTTATAAATTGACGGTTTATTATATTTTTAAATATGTAATCAGTTTTAAAAAAAGACAAATTAGTTTTGCTTTTTGTATAAGCTCCAAAATATATTTTTTGTTCTTATTGTAACAATGAAAGAAAAAACGCAGCATATACTAATTATGTTTTATTTCATTGGCTTTATATTGGATTACTTGTTTCATTTTTTATTATTTTTTTAATGAGATGCAAAGTTAATTGTAGGCAGTATGTGGAAGAAAATAAATTGTCAAAAAAAAATCTTTTGGATTGTTTTTAAAAATAGAACCCTAAAAATGTTAAAATTCTGGCACGGAAATCCTTTCCCAAAGGAGGGGGTTGTCAATTTCTAATGGTAAAATTGGACTACTTGCATTTTGGAGTTGAGAAATATATGACCGAAGAAGAAAAAAGAAAAAAATTTTAATCCTTTTTTTTCATCTGTAAATCCCTTCTGCAATGTCCAAATGGTAAATATTAAAAAAAAGGCGTCTGTTGGTGAAGATCATCCTGATCTGCATGTTATGTATATGCATGTCTATGAAATGGATAAAAAAGACTATCAATACAGAGTTACCTTTGATCGAGAATGGCGAAGAAAACAGCGAGAACAAGCGGACCATGGTGGTCGCGAGACTGGACAAACAATTTTTACTTTTGTAATTATATCTAAATTCGAGGGAAGGAAAACAGAAAAAATCGTGGAACATGGAACGAGAAAAGAGGAAAACAGCGAGACAACGCGTACCACGTAATAACACCAAACTTTGAATAAATACTTTTTCTTTAGTAATTACTTGAGTTTTTGAAAAAAAAATTTTGATTAACCAGAAAAGTTGAGTTAAAGCTGATACACCTCTCCTTACGCATATCCCTGACAAGACCGAAATGAAGCAAGATTCTGTTTTTTTGCCCTGGTTACAACTCGAACCTTCTTAATATTGAAAACGTAAAAACAGAGATGGATCGCGATCGAGAATGGTGAAGAAAACGGCGAGAACAAGCGGACCATGGTGATCGAGAGACTGGACAAATAATTTTTTACTTACTTAAATTATATCTAAATTCAAGGGAAGGAAAACAGAAAAAACTGCGACACGGATCGAGAAAGAGGAAAACAGCGAGACAACGCGGACCACGGTAATAATACCAAACATTCAATTAATACTTTTTCTTTCGTAATTATTTAAAGTTTTTGAATTTTTTTTTTTAACCCAAAAAAGTTGTTTAAGCTGGTACGCCTCTCCTTACGTATATCCCTGACGTACCGAAATTAAGCAAGATGCTGGTTTTTTCCCCTTCCCCTGGTTACAACTATACCATTCTTGATGGTGGTGAAAACGGCGAGAACAAGCGGACCGTGGTAAATCAGGAGATTCAATAATTTTTACTTTTGCAAAAAAATCAAAATCGTTGAACATGGATCGAGAAAAAGGAAAACAGCGAGACCACGCGGACCACGGTAATTGCACCAAACTTTCAATAAATATTTTTGTCTTTCGTAATTATTTGAATTTAAAAAAAAATTGGACTAATCAGAAAAGTTGATCGTTTAAGTTGGTACTCACCTCCCTGCTTATATCCCTGACACTACCGAAATAGGCAAGATGCTGTTTTTTGCCCTGGTCACAACACCAGACTTGGTAATGTTAAATATATAAAAATTGTGGAACTTGGATCCCTATCGAGAATGGTGAAGAAAACGAGAACAAGCGGACCACGGTAATCAAGAAACGCCAAAATTTCTATACATAATTTTTCCTTCGTAATTATTTGGTTTTAGAAAAAACTTTTCGATCTACGAGAAAAAATGATCGCTTTAGCTAGCTGGTTCAAATGTTGTTTGACACAGGTATATAAAGAGATCTTGCCCGCTTATAACCCTGACAATACTGAAATTAGTAAAGAAGCATTTTTCTTGCCCTGGTTTCAACGCCATATTTCATAATGTAAATTACTTCAAAATTGTGGAACAGTTCGTAGACGAGAATGGTGAAGAAAACCGCTAGATCTCACGGACCAAGGTTGATCAGGAAACGCCGATCTTTCAATAAATACTTTTCCTGCGTTGGAAATTTATGAACTTTTTTTTAACTTTTAAGATATCTTGCCTCTCCCTGCTTATAACCCCAGCAGACGCTTTACGAGCAAAACCAGAATGACCAGATATGAGAATGTGTCTAGGTGGTTTTGTCATAGGTGACAGTGATTTCCAATAACTTTTCTTGCCTCGTCCTGCTTACAGCCCTCGCGTACTGCCACTCGATTGCGGCATTGTAATTAAATCTTTTATAATGACGGGATTTTTAAAGTTGCAAGATAATGTGCTGGTAAATCGATCCAGAAAGGTGAAGATCAAGAGACAAACTGTCTGTATTTAAATAAATGCTCTTTTATACTCTCATCCCTAACCTGAGTACGACGAGAAACGACAAAATTTCACTCTAGCGTAAATTAACGACCAGAACAGTGAAGAAAACAGCGAGGACAAGCTGACCAGGATGATCAAGGGACAAAATGTCTGCATTTAAATAAATGCTCTTTTATACTCTCATCCCTATCCTGAGTACGACGAGAAATGAAAAAAAAAATGTAAATTAAGGACTCCCGAGGGTACTTTGAATATTTAATTTTGGCATATTTGGTCTAAAGCCTATGCCTGTCTGTCAGACACACTAAAGATGGATGAAAGGCCGACCTAGGATGTAGTAGACCAAAATAGTCTGTAATGTCCAAATTTAAGGTTCTTTCCCAAATCTGACAATATTTGTTCTAAATAGGTAAAAAAATTTACTCTCTTGGAGCGTTTAAATGCATATACAAAATAAAACTTGTATTGACCAAAAAGGAAGTCATTTTTTTAAATCATCAACAATGTTTAAAAAAATCATTTTGATTCAATGTATGGTTTAATTTTGCAGATTTGGTTTAGCAGTTTTCGCTGCTTCAATTTTCGAAAGAGCCTAACTTCAAAGAGTCACGGGCTGTTTTCAAACACAAATTGGAATTTGACACAAGCCCAGGGTTCAATGTATTAATTTGATTCTCGTCCTCATGTTATTATTGCTGTCCCGCTGAATAATCCTCTGCGAAGCAAAAACAAGAAATTACCCGTGGGAAAATGAACCGTTGGGGAGAAATCGATGGTTGTTAATAAAAAGTGAAACATTTCCAGATCTTAGATAAAAACCCCTGAGGACTCGTTTTTAAAATTTTCAGCTTGTGCGGTAGAAGCCAGGTTCAATAGGAACAGCTTCAACGGTGCTTAAGCTCTAGGGCTAGATTTGTAAGTCCTTTGTACTTCTTTTCAATACTCCAACAGGTAAAAACGCCAGTGGGGAGTCTGACAATGGTCAACAGTTGAACCGGGTACAAGTAAATGATAATCCAGGCTTAGAGGAGAAACTCTATTGACCCGGAAAACTCTAAAACTAGTGGGACAAACCCAATTCTATATGTCCTTACCATACTAAGTACTAAAAAAAATCTTTCCACAATCCTACGAGCCCCTGTAACCCTTTCACCTTAAAAGCTTCCCATTGATAAATTCGAGAATAATAATATAAATCAATTATTTAAAAAAATGGCAGAAAACTTTATTGTATGCATCTAGACGGCATTTTGTACGCAACGTTTAATTGTTAAGTTCAAATGACTGGTGATCATTGATAGACCATTTCACACCAGATCTTCGGACAACAATAATACATTTCCTAATCATGAAAATGTGGAATGGTTCAATCTTTCTCTCTGCTTCACTCTTTTCCCTTTTTTTGCATTGTCACACTTTTTTCCTCATGCTCTCTGCGTATCTTTTTTCCCGCTTTTTTTCTTTTCATTATCACATACTATTTCTTATTTCATTCAATTGCACTCTTATCTGTCTCTCTCTCTCTCACTCTCTCTGTATCTATCTATCTACCTATTTATCTATCTATGTATTTCCCTATCTATCTATCTATCCATAGATCTATCTATCAATCTGTCTATTCATCGATCTATCTTTCTATCTATCTATCTATTACCAAAATACACATTTATCTGTGCATTTACCTATTTATCTACAGATCTATGTATCTATCTATCCATCTATGTACCTACCTATGTATTTATGTCTTTGCCCATCTATCTGTTTACCCATCGAGTGATCAATCTATCTATCTATGTATTTGACGATCTTTCTATCAATCAATCTGTCTATGTACCTATCTATTTATGTTATTTAGGTTATTTAACGACCTATCTTTCTATTTATCCATCTAGTTATCTCCATATATATATCTATCTCATTTGTGTGATTTTGCAAATAATATTTATCGATTCATTCATTCTTTCTTTCTCTCTGCCTTTTGTCTTTCATCGTTCACGCTCTCTCTCTGTCTTTCTCGTCTCTCACAAACTCTTTCTCTCTCTCTCTCTC